AATATAGAAAACAGCGGTCGGATACTTGTACTTCCACTGTGTAATGTAAGAATAATATAGAAAACAACGGTAGGACACTTGTACTTCCACTGTGTAATGTTTGATAATATAGAAAACAACGGTAGGACACTTGCACTTCCACTGTGTAATGTTTGATAATATAGAAAACAAAGGTAGGACACTTGTACTTCCACTGTGTAATGTTTGATAATATAGAAAACAACGGTAGGACACTTGTGCTTCCACTGTGTAATTTTTGAATTATAATTGATGCAAAAAGTGTTCCAGATTACTGGGGGTCTTAGTGTTAAGTGACTTTTTGTTCTAGAGAATAAATATTTCTAAAATATGTTTTGTTATAATGAGAAATAATAATATCCGTCTTGAAGAAAAGGTTCCGCAAATGTTATCTATTATAGCTTAACAGCAATAACTGGTTGTCATTCTGCAAATGTTATTTATTATAGTTTAACAGCAATGACTGTGTATCGTTCCGCAAATATTATCTATTATAGTTTAACAGCAATGACTGTTTGTCTTTATCATAGCGTTTAAATATATCTACAAAATGTTAACGGACTTAACATTTGGAAAACCTATTTAATAAGCGATAAATAAGTCTAAGAATAACTAACGTTAGTTGGTTACCAATGGTTTTCTGTTTAACACCGTCTAACAACATTTTATATAGAGCTTATTAGCTTGTTCAGAATTTCGTGCAAAGCTACACGAGGGCTATCTGCGCTAGTCTAATTTAGCAGTGAAAGACTACAGGGAAGGAAGATAGTCATCACCCCCACCGCCAACTCTTGGGCTATTCTTTTACCTACGAATAGTGGGATTGGCCGTAACATTAAAACGCCTCCATGGCTCAAAGGGCGAGCATGTTTGGTGGGACAGAGATTCGAACTCGCGACCCTCAGATTGCGAATCGAGCACCCTAACCTCCCGACCGTTTCTTTAGAGAACATGAAAGTAATGTGCGAATCAGAATAACTTAAAAACTACGTTGAAACCTTATACATATGTAGTAACTAGAATACAGATAGAAAAACGTTAATATCAATATGTATCATTGTTATTACTATCTCGTATTAATAAAGAACATTCTGTAATGTGACTTTTATTATACCAGATGGAAACTTCAGCTATAATTTCTGTCAAGTCTTACCTATTTTAGCTCCTGATTCTATCTCATCGCCTTCAATTTTTAGTATTTATACAAGGTACCTATATATTCCATTTCTTCCTGCACAATTCGTTGTTTCAGTATCCATACAGACAAGTATTTCAATCATTTGAACAACGATTCAATGAGCTGAATGTACACGTCACAAACTGATTCCAGAACATCATTTCTTGTCGCCCACAGCAATATAAAAGTTTTCAGTAAAATGTTGGAAGACATTATAATACAATTACACAGGCTCAACATTTCCAAAACTGAAGTAACGGAAAAACCAACTAATTTAATACAAAACAACCATAATAATAATAAACTCACTAATCAATCCTAACGTACTCGTGTTCTATATCTTTCAAACCGTTTCTTAAACTTTCAAAAAGCAACAATAACATAAACTACAACACTGCTCCCTTCCTGAATTGCGAACTTCCCTCAACAATCGTATTACACAAAAAGCAATGATAGATTACACTTAAACTTCGATAATGAACAAAAATGTAACTCTTGATAATAAACAACATTAATATTCATGAATGTAGATATCACAACAACGAATTACATATGTCAAAGAAAGTAGTATAATCAAAGTTTTAATTAACGAAACAAAAACCTTTTCCTTTACTCATTCACTGATCCTAAACTATCCATTCACCAAATATTTTTGTGGTTTTCTTTTTCGTGACTTGTGGTACGAATAATGGAATGACCTCTTGCCTTTTATTAAAGCTTATAGTATTGCCGCTGGGTAAATTCTCTTTAGGTATATGATCGAAGAAATACATTAGTAATTCTATTACTTGTAATATCCAGGAAGTGATCTCGACAAGAAGGTTGGGTTCCTCAGCAAGCTGACTTATTTCTGGCAACTTTCTTTTTCTTTCGAAGCTAACTAATCAGCCATTCTTCCGTTAACTTATCTCCTAAAGTGATCATATTTCTTCTAGATTATGTTCTTTTGCGCTTTAGGTTATATGTCTTCATTACCTTTTTATTCTTTCATCATTGTCACTAGAAGTCCAAGTCCTGGTGGTACAATAGTTGTACAGTGAACTCGTATTTCCTGGTCACGGGCTGAACTGTGGACAGTTTGTGTTATAAAATGAAGTACCCTTCATTATGATCAAAGATAGAATTTGGAGTCAGTGCTGTTTACCAACATCTTCGAAATGAAACTTTCGTGTTATTCACACGAATTAGCTAAATATTTAAGTGCATGATAAACCAATGATTTATACATTTAGATGATGGGAAGAAGACGTAGTATAAGGTTCACTGCAGAACTACGAAACATAAGCTCCAAATTTATTTTGTTTGTTACAAAACTGTAGATAGCTCCAAGAAAACTTAAAGTGATTACCCTATTTATTGAAGATATAACAATTTGCGCTGTTTACATATTTACCTGTGAGAAGCAAAAAACAAAAATCAAATGTTTTACATATACTATTTATATAATACTATTTCTATTATGTAAATGGTCATGAATCTTGGTTCCAATGTCGTGATATAGTGTGTTTATTTAAAATAAAGTATATCCATCCCTAACGTTAACTTGACTTTGACAATGCTATTAGTTGGTCAAATCCGGGTTTTGTGGTGGGCAGAGAACAGATAGCCCATTGAGTACCTTTGTGCTTAACTACAAACAAATAAACAAATAATGAACTTAATGTGATTACATTAAAACAACTGTCTTTTATAAGTAATCAGCCAGGTTACCAGTTCTACGCGTGGGAAGCAACTAATATTAGAAACTTAATGATATAATTAATTCCGTTCTAACGTGTAACTCCATTAACTTGTTGATAATCTGTCCCACCCTTGACACTTTGCATCACTCGTACTATAATAAACTATTTTTTTGTACGTCATTTTTTTAATAGGTTAGAAACTTACCATTTCTCGCACAAGCATTGCCATTTATAAACTGACAAACAGAGGCGTTGTCGGACGCTGGAACATGGAGCCTGTGCCCCGATTCTATCTAACAGTGTCCAGAATCCTCAGTTAGTATCTTGAAAAAATAAGAATAGAAAACCATGATCGATATCATACTGAAACGACGAAGATTCCCGCACCTAAAGGTCCGAACCCCGAATTTATTAAGTACCTAGCGACGCTTTCGCTGACAAGTCTATTAATAATATTCCTAAATAACAGAAATGAAAGAACCACAATATATGCAACATATAGATTACACATAAAAATTATTACAGATTTGCACTTGGCGTTCTATTTTAACGAACATCTTGTAGCGTACAGAAACCCATTGCATTTCCAGGGATTTTCATTGAACACATGAGCGCCATCTTGGGATCTTGGTGTTAATTTTAGTTCTTCAAAATGCGTACGTATAGGTGTCAAAAATTTTTTGTTTTGTTTGAAGTTAAGCACAAAGCTGCATAATGAGTCATCTGTGCTCTGACCATCACGGGTATCTAAATCTGGTTTCTAGCTTTGTAAGTCTGCAGACATACCTGCCGCTGTGCTACTGGGGGCGTGTCAAAAAGAAAAATCAAATTTAGCATTGTATTTATCAGAGTCAGTTTTTATTACTAAAAAGAACAGGGAAAATGTTTGTACAATTTCTTGGTGTTTTTGATATTTTAATTGTTTGTTTTATATATTTAACAAGCATGACCAATATCAAACTGCTTTAGTCAAGCGTTTTGATAAAAATGTTTATTACTAATACGTTTTAACTTAAATTACGTATTTTCAATTGTAACTTTTCTTAAATTTGTAAGCTTTCAATTTTGAATATAAAATAATGTCAAGATTCAAATAGGTGCATATGTTGTACTGATTATAGAGCTTACGAGTTTAGATTTCGACACTACATTGAAAAATGAAAGCTATTATAATAACTCTTACTCTTCTGTGTAAGAAAAATGTAACAGTTTCAAAAGAAAATTTAAACATCAGGCATCACTTTCAAATCAATTACGAATGTTATCTGATTAATAATTGAAATCAGCGTTAGCCTAATGATCATATAGGATGCTAATTCTACTTATAGTATTAGAAATAGCAACGACTGGTATCCGATCGCGGTATTAAACACTCTTGAAACAACGCATTTTAATCGTAATTTCCTTTCTCCACCAAGTAGATGAGGAAGGAAAACATCAAACAACTTATGATCCCTTTAAACATCACGGCAAATGTTTTCAAGGTTTAATTAATGACATTAAGCATCGTTATCCATATTTCGTCAGCGACTTTCTCGATGGTCTGAACGTCCAGTGTTTAGCAACACTTTTTTTCATCTACTTTGCTGCCCTCTCTGGAGCTATTACATTCGGAGGTCTGATGGGTAAGTTAATAACCGTTCATGGTTTTAGCCACACAATAAAGTAGTAGAACGACGACCATAACAGCAATGTCGTATCTTTTAAAGATTTGCCATTTTTTCTGGGAGTATACAAAGAAGTTCAAACTGCAATATTCAGACTTGAAAAACTTAACGTTCTTTTCTATGCCTACTAAAAGAAATTACAAATATTAACATTGAAAGTTTATTAGTAAGTATAATATAATAGGCTGAGTGTTTCACTGTTTTTATGAGCTGAATTACCCGTCAATTTAAATGGGTAGTTGTTAGTACGTCCTTCTCGGTTTATTGTTTTTACGCTGTAAGCCTAAATATGATATATAATACAAACTCAAATAAAAATAATTCGTTAAATATCAAAAAATGAGTTATTTAATTTCTTCTATTTCTATGAAACTTGTAAAAGTAACGTGTTTTTCTTTGTTGTGATTTTAAGCTGAAATTATTAAGAGATAAAACAGTGATACGTTACCTCTTTAGAAATAATGTACTCAAATATCACCTAAAAATTTAATTATCATATCCAAATATTAAAAATAAAGATTATTTGCCATTCATTAAACATTTTATGTAATTCGGTTAAGTAGTTTAAGCGATAGTTGTAAGTTTATAGCTAAGTTAGAGAAAAACTGTTTAAATCTTTTGAATAATAATATAAAACGCTTATCTTAATGTTTTCTCTCAGATTATAAAACCAACAACGTCATTGGTGTTTCGGAAACTCTTGTCGTCTCTGCGGGTACTGGGGTTTTATTTTCCTTGGTAGCAGGACAACCTTTAATAATTATAGGAACAACTGGCCCACTTTTATTATTTGATGAAATATTATATAAAGTAAGTATAATGAAATGTTATGGTATGAACATCTTTGTTGACGAAGCCTAATTATAATCATTAAAATATGTCATAGGATAATAGTATTAGGCTTATTGTCTTCTTAATGCTACAGTCTGTATTTCGGACTAAATAAATAATGTAGTGTTAAAAATAGAATAGGTATAATACTATAGTGCTGCAGCAAATATAATTGATTGCATTGAATTTTAGTTGCTGTACTATCTAATATAGTACTTATTGAAAAGTAAAGGCTAGGTTGGAAATTAAATAACCTTATTAAAATGGCATTTCTAATGCAAAATATGTAGTCACGAGAGGAACAGGTTTCATTTTAAAACAAAAAATACATAAAAGAAATGCAGTGGGTAACTTTCATTTACCATCTCCAGCTCAGAAATATTCGAACTCCCAAAACTCACAAAAGTCTTGTATTAGCACAGTTGTAAAGACGAATGGGTTAAGACTGTTTGTTGCCCATTCTAAACTTTATTCACATCTTCATCAAGAATTATGGGTCGGCTGGCATGCTCCTATGGCAGAAACCTAAACAAGCCAGTTCACTTATCAACCCTACCATTCTAAGTGGCAAAGACCTGGCATGCTCCTATGGCAGAAACCTAAACAAGCCAGTTCACTTATCAACCCTACCATTCTAAGTGGCAAAGACCATAACATCACGTCCTCCTTCAGAAAACTCAGTAACTCCACTTTTTTCTTTGATCATAACGTTCAGAACCTCCTAAACGCCATCGTTAGAAAGTTTCTAATAATACACATCGCAGAGAACTGAAGAATAAAGCAAAACGCTTTGGTTCTCACACATACCCACTAAAAAAGAACCCAGAACCTTTGGTGTCCTATAGAAACTATTACAAAAGCTAACAGAAAGCTGCCTTTCACAACTTTAATGATAAACCCTGGAAAAAACTGAAAGATGAAGAAGGTCCTTTATACCAACTACAAAAGCTGGAATCGACAAAGTTGTGAGCTTATAAGTGAGCCGACTTTTGACAGTCCGTCTAAAATCCAACCAACTAACATTCCATGTAGAATCTATCCTTAGTTATCAGACTACCCGTCATTTGAACCGACCCCCACCAAAACCTCGCTACATGAAGCTTTCCATCAGGATTTGTGTTTTTAAAATACAAAATACAACGCCCTGATCTGAAAACTACTAATGAAAGTCATCTGAATATTCATTATTCATTCTATTTTCGTAGTCATTTGGGACTAAAGGTCCCGCATAAGAGTTTAACCTGAATGTTTTCTGCTCATTCTAACCTTTACTTTTCATGTAGATTCGGGCTTGAATAATCCATGAAACAGTAGCTCTCCTACATTGTAGTAAATATATACTTTTAATTCCATAGAGAATTATACACCATTCGTTTTAAACTCACATATAGCATCACTATAATAATTAGTATTAATATTTTGCGAACTATCCATAAGAGTAAACGGTTCAATTTGTTGTTGATAACTATTTATTACAAAGCTATACCAAATTACAAATAAGGATAACAAAAATGGTCATGTAAAATATATAAAAAAACATATCATTGCTATTCTTTCATTGACGTTAGTAAAACATTGACGTGTGATGGGAACAGTGCAATGCAAAAGAATAACACCAGATTTTTCATTGTCGTAATACTGTTCTTTTCCAGTTTTGTTTAACTAATGAGATGGAGTTCCTACCATTTCGTGTTTGGATCAGCCTGTGGGTTGCATTTATCGCAACGGTTGTAGTGGCGTTCGAAGGAAGTGCGTTTGTTTCTTTCTTTGGTCGTTTTACACAAGAAATCTACGCTGCTCTCATTTCCCTGATTTATATTTATGAGTGTTTCTTCAAAATCTATTGGGTTTGTATAATTTAATAGCTTGATAGGTGTAATTTTAGAATATTGTGATATTTTAGTTAACGCTTCCAATTCCAGAAACGCCATCCAAACGTCTGAATCTCGATTTTAGTCTGGATAAATACATTTTTGATTGTTATTTGACAATAAGTTGTGTACACGTAATGAAGGAGTTGAAGGAAGAGGCTACATAACATACGGGATATGTTAGTATAGTTGATGTCCAAATTAAGTTGACCTTAATAAATAATTTAAAAGTTGACCTGTTAAATTTATGTATTAGTTCAAAGAATTTTACTTCACCAGAATGAATTACTAACCGAGAAAGAATCAACGCCATTGTTATTGTTTTAGTTTTTTAAAAAAACTATCATAAAAACTACTTCAGGAAAAAGACTTCAATAATTGGCACTGTATTTGACTAACTTGATTATGTATGTATGAATCAAAAGACAATTGCAGTTTTTATAGTTTATAGTAATAAGAAAAGATAAACAAGTTTAAATATTAATGACTTATTTGTTTAAATTGCATACAATTACTTTTAGCCTTCTGAAATTGATGGCAGCATACATTTAAAACAATATGTTTTAAACAACCTTATCTAATTTAATGTTTACATATGTTTGTTATAAATTTTGTTTATTAAGAAGGTAGAAGTAGCCAGTACGTTAATTATATCTGTGTATTTTTACGAATCTTGATTGTTAAAATTGCCGAAATTGTTTAAAACAACCATTTCTATTCAACTTAAGGTTAAAGAACAATATTTTCGAATATTTGTTCATTTATTTGTTAGGTGTTCTCTACGAATCCATTGTTGGCCAACTACTGTACACTGACTACTACGAGTCCACTTGAAGACCCCTTAGTCAGCAACTGTGTTAACTCTTCGTGTGCACAGAATTCTTCTGATCTTCATTCTCTAAATAACGCAAATTTGACGTCACTCTCTTTCGAAGATTATTCGGATTCAGCGGAACCTCTTCGAATCCATCCAAATACGGCTCTTTTTTCCTTGATTTTAATGCTGGGAACATTTTTCATCGCATATTTCTTGAGACACTTCCGTAACAGCAGATTTCTGGGAAGAAAAGTATGTACCATTCGTTCTTGCGCCGTTGAACCATAGTCGTTATTTATTTTTAGAAATGAAAGTTTCGACATTTTTGATGCGGTGTCAGCATCAAAATTTCAAATGTGGTAAATTGTTAAAGTAGTCTAAATTATTTAATATGAACACACACGTATATATATATATATGGATAAACACTTTAAGATTGGAAATCCATAAGAAGCAAAATATGCACTTTATTATTTATTTATTTTTTCCTACAGAATATAGAAAATGTATTTCTGAAACTCAAAACTACCGTCATCATTTATTGTGTTTCAATTGGTTGCACTAATGTTTAATGTGATTCATATGATCTTCACTATTATAAATAAAGAAACGCAAAAGGAATACAGTTTTTCGTGAAGTGCAAATTACTGGCTATGTTAGAATTAGGGTTAAAAGCTTTCCTTCTAATTCGAGCTATTAATTATTGACTCAACTAGTTCTTGATGTCGAGAAACGCACTTGAAGTAAATGTAAATAGTTAAAAGTTAGTATTGGAAATTAATACTTGAGATCTGTTTATGCAAGGAAAGTTTTTTAACAAAATTAGTAAATGTGTTTCGAATTTTGAAAATGGGGTACTGTTATGCAATGTGGTTACTTTATAACTACTATGTTCGAACTGTGTCTTTAGGTACGAAGAGCCATTGGCGACTTTGGCGTAACAATAGCTATTCTACTTATGGTGCTATTAGACTACTTTGTGAAGAACGTGTATACTCAGGTATGAAATATATTGAAAAAATCTGTTCTTCGCAATGTTGGAGTAATAATGTTGTATTCATCTTTTCATTGGTGCTTTAATTACTTGTATAAAGTAAATGAAGACAAGTGTGTCACATATTAACTTTTCGGTAGACGTGTAACTTGTGGATTGACAGATGATTAGTCAGATAACTTTGATAAAAAGAAATAATTATTCCTTGTACTTGATACGCTAATACTAACCTCGCTTCTTAAAGAACACTAAATAAAGACACATTTTTGTAGTCACTACACTAATACTCGGTTTGCTTCTATAGAATAGTGTCAACGATCAATGATAATAACGCAAACTGTGACAAAGATAAGCGCCTTGATCCTACAGTCATATCTTCCACGACCAATGACATTGTTGTAATGGTTTCTATTGCTGGGCGTTTATTTTTGATTCAGTACAAAAGAATGCAAAGTCCAGTCTACTTGATTATAACTAAAGCATTATATTTGTTCCGAATTGTTCGACAACAACTACTACTACAAGTTTTTACACTTACACAGTTTCATGAACTTATAATACGCCTAACTTCACAAAAACGCTAAAAGATCACGTGATAATTTTCTCGTATTTGCGTCACCTTTCGTATCTCTAGTACATCGTTGAAACACAAACTCAAAATTTTCAGCACTAAAGTAACGGGTAAACAAACTTACAAATTCACTAACTCAGTAATCAATCCAACATTGTATCAAACTCATTAATTAATCAACAACCTCACATAGCCTTGTCAAACACGCGTTTTTATATCCTTCAAATCGATTCTTAAACATTCAAGAAAATTCTAGTTACTAAGCCGATTCCCTCATCACGTAATGATAAAAACTACTTTTAGCCAAAACAATACAACCCTCTAAGTTAATAAAAACATAGCATACAATAACATTATCTGCGCTATCATGGTTATAGACTTTCGCAGTTTAGGGCAATCTCTATTGCAGGATGCTTTTCTGCAATATAATGAGGTTAATATTGTTTCACTCCGCTTTATATGCTTTCCAAAATCCAACATTTGTACACAAATGATGTCTTTAGAGGGTAGTTTGAGGAACATAAAGGTATAGGCGTCCCTGGGTACCTTGTTTGTTATCTATTGTAAAGCACAGGCGTCCCTAGGTTGTTTGTAAATTTATCTATTGTAAAGAACAGACGTCCCTGGGTTGTTTGTTTGTTTATCTATTGTAAAGCACGGAGCTACACAATGGACTATCTACTCTGCCAACCGCGGGTATCGAAATCCGATTTTTAGCGTTATAAGTCCATTAACTGGCGGGGGGGGGGGTCCCTGGAAGATGTATCTGTTGATTTAACTGATAACTCTGATAAATTTATAGCACGAAATCCCATTTATACTTCATCTCGAGGAAGAATTGACTTGGTGACTTGGAGTTCTGGATGGATACTTTGCTTTGATAAGCCATACCTTATTTATATTTAGTTCGAGCAAATAAGGTATTTCCTCATGGTATCGTAGTGACAGCATGTTAACCTGACAATATGCAGAGTTCAACTTAAAACTGGTTTTCCTTCTCCAGACGTTTCGTTTGCAGTATTCTCAGGTGCATTGACAACTTACAGGTAATAATAGTATCTGCTCTAACTAGAGGTTCGTCAGAAAATCTGTTACGGAGTTAAACTGACTTCTGTCCTGATTGAATTGAGAAAAAAGACTAGATAGAAATTTCACAGTGAAACACATATTACATTCATTTTATAGCACACAACTGCAAGATGAATATTTAAACTCAATCAGGCGTGTGCACAAAGATGAGATACGGTCGCATATCTCTCTAAGTTTTGAGATATATATATCAGGATAAATCTATCTGCATAAGACTGAATGAATTAATCACTGTATACTTATTCGAATGGGCCAAATTTCCAAAAGTGCATTTGTCAACCCATTAGTAAAAATAAATAAGGAAGTCAGTGTCTTCAGGTATTTCTAAGCTATACATGGCTAATACTAGTAAAGAACATAGTAGAATAAGTTTAAGGCCTTCTTTTCTAGGAAAACCTTGCACGAGAAAGTAAAAAAAGGCCCAAGGATAAATGACTGACAATATGTGGCTAACACACAGAACATAGTAGAGCAAATGTAATGCATTATTCAGCTACACCTTCCACCTTGCACGAGAAAGTAAAAAAAGGCCCAAGGATAAATGACTGACAATATGTGGCTAACACACAGAACATAGTAGAGCAAATGTAATGCATTATTCAGCTACACCTTCCATGGGAAGGTCTACAAATATCAGAATGGAAAGTATGTGTGAGATTAGCAGAGTAATACGTGCTTAACATTCAACACATGCACGAAACATGTATAAGAAATATACTATTTTTTAACCAAAAGAAAGAAATAACAAGAGGTATGTTTTACATACCATAAGATTACATTTCTAGCTCATCCAGTTTTCAACAATTGGTATCCTGTTTAGCTTTGTATCTTGGGATAAGCTTGTAAGCATGGTACTTGTGTCGCTTTTGTAAACCTAAATCCGTGTGTATAATCTTGTTTGTTTTTTCTAAGGGAAGTACTTCTTTTAGCTATAATACAGTGCTGTGTTCTCTTGTACTTCTGGTGACAAGATGTTTAACTTTTGTCATTGCTTCCAACTGGTAGCCAGTCGTGAAGCGATCTGATTTTCTCTGCTGGAATTACGCATTCCCATATTTCCCTTCCCTTCTCAGTTTAGTATTTCTTTGTCATAGAGTGTTTAAGTCTCTCAAGATTAAGCACTGTTTTGTTTTAAGGTTTCATTGTATGAATTGCAAAATCGTAGGGCGAAAAGAATATGTGAAGCTGAAATGATAGACATATTTACTGACAAATTGTATTAATGAATGTATAAATAACAATTGTACCAATTCAAGGCTTGAGGCACATAGATGCAGTTTTATTATTGTCAATGGACAAATAATAAAAAATGTGTATTCAGTTTAATTTAAGATGTTTGTTGCAGTAATAATATGTGAAAATAGAATTACGACTGAAAAAAAAAATCTAATAAATATTTACGTCCACCATTAATAACGTTTTGTTTTATAAGGAGCTGAAGATTTTTATTTTCTTTTTAATAAAAAGTAAAACCACCAATTAATAGTTTAGTTTTGAGTTTACTTAATTCTTAAGTATCATTTTATTACAAGTTAGAGCTTTTACAGTAAGAAAGATTTGTTTTTAGAACAGATACGACGTTTCGATCATTGGCGCGATCATTCTCAAATACGTAAGTTTTAACGTTTTCTCTGTTCCAAAAACAAATTTTCCTTACTGTAAAAGCTGTAAAACTTGTAGCAAAATAAAACCATCAATGTTTTTGGAATTTTATACTCCAATAGTTTTTATTCCCATTTTAATAAAATTAGTTTTTAAACAATTCAGTTAGAAATGACCATTACAAGATACCTCTTTTTACGAGTTTATTAGACAGAGAGGCATACAACAGATAAAATAAAGAACAAACAGAGACGCAAAAAGCACCAAAATCGCCATGTTTTTCATGAGGAAAGGAAACGTCAAACAGTAAATTTACAAGACTTTCATGTTTCACCATTTAAGGTCGAATTCAGATTATGGTCTATATAAGATGATAATTAAATGATTTTTGTTTCATTTAGAAACTAAGTGTCACGGAAGAATTGCATCATAGTTATACACTCGAAAAAAGCTGGATCATCTCACCTTTAGGGTTGGTTAAGCCTATTTCTGTGCGGCAGATATTCTCTGCGTTCATTGCTGCTTTGCTTATTTTTATTCTGCTCTTCCTGGAAATTCAGATTACCGAGTGAGTATATTTATTTACAATTTTCACCGAATAAGATAAATGCAACGTCTTTTGGCCAGAATGCATTAATCATTCTGTAACAATTGAATGACGGTTACGTCCCACAATTTGATTAGAGTAACTCAAGACTCAGCGATGGGTGTTGTTGATTAGCTGTCTTCCCTCTTCTCCATGAGTTGAAAATTAGCGCAGATAGTCTTTGTGTAGCTTTACGCGAATATTCGAAACGAATAAGGAAACAAAATGTTACTTCTCAATTTGCAGAACTTATAGAAAACTCAATAATTCTGGTTGAAGATTGATTTATATAGTAACTCAACAATACGGCAAAGAAGTGTGCGTCAATTTGATTTTTAAATATAACTTTAAAATAATTAAGTAATTTTATTGCAAGGAAATATACTGATGTATAGTTGTTTTCTTACCTCAAAGCTACACAATGGGCTAACTGCACTCTGTACATCTAGTATTGACGGCTATGTTATAAGTCCGTAAACTTACCGCTGATCCAACGGGGGAACACTTATGTGTAGAATTTCAAATGTTTCTTCAGAATCTAATAATCCTAATTTACATAAGTTAAACTGTTCTGCAGATGAGCAAGTGTTTGGACCTATCTGTATGCATTTAAAAGTTAACAGATTTTGTAAGGTTTCTAACTGTTGTTAAAAATGTATTGCCTGTCTGAACTTGACAAATAAAACAATTCCGAAAATTGTCCGAGCTCATACCTAAGACCTTGAAATAGGTACGAGAGCTTAAGAAATAGCTACATGATTTTAACGTTTAATATTTATGAAATTATTTTAAAAAATTGTTTTAAAAAATTTTTTGAAAACTCAGTGGATTATTTTCTTTTTTAGAAAAAAGTTAATTATCAAAATCACCTATGATAGTTGTTTAGTTTTAGTTACAATACAAACTATGTACTGTATTTATTTGTGGTCTTGGTTTAATTCAAATTAATACGAAACCTAAAGCCATCGTGTATAGAAACAGGGGTGACATTTAAAACCCAAAAAGTTGTGAGAATGCAAAACAACCGAAGCCGAGATGATATTTTTGTTTTAAGGTTACAAAGCTAAAATATAGGAAAAGCAAAATAATCGTGTAACAGAAAACGCTGGAATATTCAAGTTATGTGATGGGGATGTTTGAACATGTTGTTAACTTTGTTCATGAAGTACATCTTATTTGTGGTCAGAAAGGATGGACTAAAGTGATTTCTAAATTGTTTCAAACAAAGGTTTTATGAAACTCAAAATTTTACATGGAATACCGCGCATCTCTAATACTACTGACGTACTGATAGATAACATTTAAAATATAAGAAACTGTCTTTCTCTCTTTTCGAAATATTCGTGTTAATAGGGCATAGATGAATTTCAATGCTGAATATCTCTGTAGGCTGATCATCAACAAGAAAGAGAGGAAATTGAAGAAAGGATCAGGATTTCATTTGGACCTAATGTTAATCAGTTACATGCAGATAGGGTGTGCGCTCATTGGAGGACCTTGGGTTTGTGCAGCAACTATTCGATCTCTGTCTCATGTCATCAGCTTGACAGTGCTGAGTAAGACGCACGCTCCTGGAGAGGTTCCTTATGTCGTTGAGGTGAAGGAACAGCGTCTAACAAACCTCATGGTGTCTGTTCTAATAGGTAATCTTAATTTTTTAAATAAAAATAATAATATGCCAGAAAAATATACTGTGATGTTTGTTTATTTCTTACTAAGCACAAAGCTACACAATGAGCTATCAGCTATTTTAACATTGTAAGTTGTGAGGCTTACTGCTGAGCCAGCAGGGGCATATTATGGTCTGGAGAAGAACCCCATAAAACGAAAAGGAAAATAACATTTATAAAATTAATGGTTTGATTTTATGGCATTTTTTGCAGTTTAACAAATTAATAGATGCCATAATTATAGTCTTTCATAAACTAGTCATATTTATTCATGGTTGTTATTTAAATGTATTATTACAAATTGAGTTTAAAAGTAAGAGACTACAGTAAGATGTTTGAAAATCCAGGAAAATTATTATAACAATATTAACTAATTTTTGAATTTTCTAGTATTGTTTGAACATTAAGTATTATCTTACTGTTTTAGAGATAGATCCTATTGTCTGTTGTCGAGAGCTGCTCTTCTAAATCACATGGCAATGGTTTCCAATGTGCGTAGGTCACTTTCATTGCTAGCTTGTAAAATATTTTGAACTGCTGTTTGAAAGGCTGAATAGCACTCTACTCTGTGCTATCCATTGCTAATGGGATACAGAGCTTTTAACCGCCATTGTTTTTTGTGTCACTGCTGAAGCTTCCTGGCGGTGGAACCAATGTACCGAAGCTTACAACTTTAGCATGCGTAGAGATGTACTGTAGAGGACTGTAAAAACAACAACTTTTATCAAAAGTCACAGTAAAGCAACCATTCGTTATTTCTCAGGTGTTGTTGATAAGGTTTTTTCACAAAGAGTTATAGGAAAAGCATTTTTAGAAAGGTATTTCTTAATGTTATTCAACTCTGTGAGAAACAGTTTATTGTTGCTTACTAGTTTATGAATACAGTTAACTGACATTTTAATCAGGTTTTCATTGTGAATCAAAGGTACAAAGCGAACAAAATGTGCGTATTATCCTGTAAAGGTAGGTTTATGATAAGACGCGAAAGTGAACAAGCCTTTTTTATTCGAGTCAGGTATCCAAGAACGGTAAAGTGTTATTTTTTTCTCAGTAAATGTAATGTTGTTAGTTGTTGAATCAAATAGGACAGAAATGTCTCTGGTTGTGTATGTGTGTTTGAAATTTCTTTTAAATCGTCATTCAAATATCTTCTATAATAAAGTGGTTTGAATTCAGTTGGATACTTCCTTAACAATTGTTTCTTGTGAAAACAAGGGAAAATATTTGCTACAGTAGATGTCAAGGTAGATTCTGTTCTAGCATGGGCTGGTAATTAGAGCGCTCGACTCGCAAGCTGAGGGTCGCGGGTTCGAATCCCAATCATCGAATATGCTTTCCCTTTGGGACTACTGTCATGGCCAACATCCAAGTGTAAAAATTCTTGGCTAATATAAAACACCCGAGCGGCAGAACCCAAAACTATATGGATTATAGTCGAATGAAGATTTTTACCAAGCTAGATCCCATCGCTATTCCTCAGGCTGCTCCTAGGTCTTACTATTGAAAAGAAAATGTGACTGCTTGGTGGCGTAGTTTAGTAACGTTGTGAACATATTTTACATAAGCCATTGACTCTATCTTGGTTATTGAAAGCTAGATTGTACATATTTGGACTGTATCATCAAGGGGTACGTTAGTAAACACGAATTCTATATCAAAGTTAGCACACTCTACATCATCATTGAACTATGACTAAGTTACCATTGATGCACTTCTTTTGGTATTTATGAAAGGAACTTATAAAAAGTTGGCCCCACCTCTGACAATGGATCTGCGATGGCATTCCGATTTATGTATTTTGGGAGCTCCATAGAGTAAGCTTGGACGTGTCCTTATTGCCATTTTTAAGTTTAAGCAAGTATCTGTGAATGTCATTTTTCATGCAAGCATTTGGATCAGACTTGAGTTCTTTAAGCTTAATTATGTCTGTTTGAATAGCATGCATCTTCCCGTGGTTGTCTGTTTTATGTAAAACAACAAAAGCGTTGTTTTTATCCGCTCTAATGATAACAATTATTGAACGTTTGTTGCAATTGCTCGAGAGCTGTTTCCTCAGTTTTCTAAGATTTGAAAACGTTTTTTTTTATCATTATACTCATTTACTGTTGACAACACAATTCCAGGAATGTGTGTTGAAACATGTCCAAATTTGTCTTTGTTTGAGGGCGATATCATAAATGGATAGCATTCTAAGCAATTTTTCAAAGCCTTGGTAGAAATGTTCTTTATTGGTATTTTCAAGTTGTTTAAGTAGTCATGTACTTTATTTAAATTTGTTGTTGAGTTTTATGTTTATATTTTTATTTTGCAAAGGGAAGAATTCATTGTTAGAAACGTTTAATTGTAGAAATGCAGGTAAAACTTTACACTTTTTGTTTTACCCAAGTTAATTTACATTTGGATTGTTTTTTCGAAAATTGAAATAGCTTATTTATAATTTGCGAAAGGTAAGAAGAGTGCGTTTGTTTGTTTGTGTGTGTGTGTGTTTTTCTTATAGCAAAGCTACATCAAGCTATCTGCTGTGTCCACCGAGGGGGAATAGAACCTCTGATTTTTTTTGTAACTCCGGGGGACAGGGAAGAAAGGTGGTACAGTTGTAACGTGTTGGAAGAAAATTGGTTATCGATTTCTTAGAAGGGAATATTATGTTTTAAATAAATTTTTGGATAAAATTGTTGTTGTTTTTCTTTCGTGCAAAGCTATACAACTTTATAAGCCATAATAATCAGACAAATCGGATTTTAGCATTGTAAGTCAGTAAAATTAATGCTGACCAACCTGGGTAAACGACTGTTATTATTCAGTAGGAATGAGAATTTTAATATGGTAAAAGAAAATGTATAGTTTTAGACAGGATATCTGGAAAAAATGCAGTTCAGAGCATGCGCAGAGGTGTGGTTGTGTCGTAAGAAGTTGACACATAACAGATGTCTCAGAATGAGTGTCCAATCACTCAATAACAGAGAACAGGCTGTACCTCTGAACTTAACCTCTAGCTCATAAAATCTTCAATATATAACTCAATTTAGCCATTTTGTTCGATGATATTTCACACCTATTCTACGTCGAACGACTTCATTGCAGATTCTTGCCTTATGTAAATTTATACACTGCTTCGCATAATATAATGTCATTGCAATTACATTAATTATGTATATATGTATAATATTAGGTCGTCAAGAAATTAATGTCGCTTTTTTTTTAGATGAAAAACCCGAACAACAATAGTCTCCATTCTTATCGATGATGCTTTTCCATCTTACAATCAGGTTGTTAATGCCCTGATTAAAGAAATCACTTGGTTTTGAAGCAAAAAACATGTGGATGTACTTTTAACACCTTCCACATTTGCATACGTTTTCTCATTAAGATGGCGTTGCAGCGAATGAAAAAGATGGTAATCTGATGGTGCCATATCTGGAGAATATAGTGGGTGGGAGAGAACTTCCCAACCCAATCCCATTATCTTGTGTTGCGTCAAACGTGCCACATGTGGACGTGCATTGTAGTGGAGAAGAAGAACACTTTTCCGATTGAGGAGTGAAGGGCGTTTCTGATGAAAGGCTTGATTTAAACGTTCCAGTTGCTGACTATAGATTTCTGCATTGACAGTTTGCTGTGGATTTGAGGAGTTCGAAATGAATTACTCCTTTGATGTCTCACCAAATGCAAAGCATCACTTTCTGCGGGTGGAGTCCAGGTTTTGGGGTCGGAAGTGGTTTTTGTCTAGGACTGAGCCATTGTTTTTGGCGTTTAATATTCGCATAGAGAATCCATTTTTCATCACCGTTGATAATTCTGTACAAAAATGGTTCACGCGCATTACGCGCCAGAAGAGACGAAGCAACATTCACAGATTGGAAATGATGATCATCGGAGAGTTCGTGAGGCACCCAAACACTTTCTTTATGGAGTTTTCTCATATTCCTTATATGTTTACGTATTGTTTCATGAGAGACATGCAATATCAGGGCCATTTCACGAGAGTGTTGCCTTGGGTTAGACTCAACAAGCGTCTTCAGAGCATCAATATCAATTCCAACATGTCGGCCCCTACCATCACAGTTTTTAAGGCTAAAGTCACCTGAAAGAAATTTGCTGAGTCCTCGTTGACACTTCCGAACGTTCAAAACATTTCCATAAACTACTTTGATATTCTATATGGCTACAGATGCGTTGTTTCCCTTCTTGTATTCAAACAGCATTACATGCCGAATGTGTGTCTTGTTGTGTGCCATAACTATAAGGGATTAGAGTATACTAAACTTTACACATTATATTGACTATACTAACGTGACGTTTAGGCGGTTCGTTTAACTATTATACGTTATGTTCGTTTTTTTTTTGGGGGGGGGGGGGTAATGAAAGTGTTCCAAAACACGACATTAATTTCTTGACGACCTAATATATAATATATATCTTCACTTACTTTAATTTTTAAGAGTTTTGATATATTATTGAATAAGTTACGATACCCATAACTTTGTGAAATTATTGCTGATATACTCTTCATGATTGTTACTATCTTCGAATTCCGAATCCTTAGTTTTACAGTTCACGAGTAAAACCTTATTAAATAGATTCTAAAAAAATAACTAGATAGTCAAATTTGGATGTAATAATTTAGCATTAAACTATAGAGAAGTTGATATCTAAGATCTAAATGGTCGTATAATGAAACTTAAATCACATAAAATTGTAGCTTAGAGTGCAAGTATAACACAGTCGGAACCAAAACAAATTCACCATTGTTATTTTATTTCTAGGTCTTCTTAAACGTTATTTTGACAAGCTGATGAATGTTAACACTTCCATGTGGAATGAGAAGCAATTGCTCGAACAAACAATTCGTGAAATATATATAACTCTTTTAACAGTTCTTGTTTAATATCGTTTCACTGATACCGCATCCTTGGATAAAAATTTACATTTGCAGTAATGTTTAAAAGCATGTTTGGAAATATTTCCCTTTTCATTTGACTTTGAATTAAAAGGTTAGAATTTAGAACACTTCGTATGTAATGTTGAAAAAAAAATGTACTACTCAAAATTTGCTAGGGAACACTTTTCAATATAAATATAGCAAATAACCAATGTCCATACTATATTTGTTTCACATGCTTTCAAACGCAAGTCGTACTCACTCTGTCCTAGCGTGTTTTTACGTAACGTGAAAGAAAATACCCCTCAAAATGGAACAGAGGTAAGGACGGTTTTAATGAATTATACAGAAAATAATAAATAACAAAAAAATCATTATCATTAGCTACTGTGTGTCTTCAAAAGCACTGACAAGTGTCTGGCATCGTCACTGCACGCTCTTGATGAGTTTCTGGGTGATGATCTGCAACACGTGATCACGTTCCTACCTAAGGGCATCTTTCAGCTCGTGGGGGAGTCTTGGGCTAAACAGCGTGGAGTGAAACAACATGCGGAAGGGAATTACAGACATGCTTGGTGCTCGAGCGGGCTCCCTCCATACCGACAGTAATCTCTCTTTGGAGGAACTTCTCCATGACCCGACTGATGCGTGGGTAACATTTTCGTTCATACAAACGAAGTTGCCATCATTGGTACCAGTGTGTAGCCTCGTTTAAATGTCTAGGACCTTAGCTATATCCTGTACAGCTGTCAGAAAGCCATCCTCGTACATATAGAGGCCCATCTGTCAGTTTCTCCATTGAAACTGATGTCACTTCAGTCCTATGATGGTCCCTAACTGTCGTGTTCCGTTATATTAGTATTGTGGTATTGCTACCAAAGTCTTTCCCAAATTCTTGCATGATAGTCTGGGAAGTCAATATACACCCTAAACGCTTTCGTGAAAATCAGTGGTTTCCAATCTTATTCAGTCCAAGCCCGATAATTTGGTGTTAAATCTCAGCTGATTTATTATGACAATGGGTCAATGAAATCCGACTATAGATTTTCGTTGGCCACACACCAGCCTTCTTGAATTTATATGAGAAATCCAGATGCAATTTATAGGTCGCAGCAGGGCTTTTGTGATATGTGGAAAAGTTCTTGGCAAGCTTGTATTGTCAACAAATAGTCTTGTCCTAGGTTTTTCTTTATTTTCAGCTACTTTTATATAATTTCTTTATATCTCCATAGATTTTGTGTTGTTTCTATGCATGAGAAACTATTTTGGTTCACACCTAAGTCAACGATGAGATACTAAGACCGCTATAATTCCTCCAAATTTTAAGTGCCTTCTGACATGCGCCTGTGCCATAAGATGAAAAATGTAAGTGTTGGAAAATAAAAGTAAAAACAATGACAGAGACAAAAAGTATTGTGGCAAAGAATCTTTGTTAGCACTGACAAACAATGATCCGTCGAGTAGTATAGAAACAAATATATTTCCAATTTCTCACACGGTAAAAAAAATCAAAAAAAATCGTAAGTTAATATAAATTATTGACAATGATGAAATCAATACTATAGTTTCAACTTTATTTCCTGTTGTAGGTTTATCTATTCTGATAGCTCCATTATTGAGAAGAATTCCAGTGGCTATTTTGTTCGGAGTCTTCTTGTATATGGGGGTCTCATCAGTAAGTGGAATTCAGCTGTTCGAAAGGATTCAGCTGTTGTTTATGCCTGCTAGACACCATCCTGATGTTCCTTATGTACGCCATGTAAGTTTTGGTGTTCAAGCAATTCATGAATAGACTTTTTTGTGAAATAAGTTATACTTCCCGTGCTAGATCCTGTGACAACTATATATATACACACATTTGTTTTTCTGAACAAGACTATGCACCTAGTTGCAAGTAATGTTTGAATTAGGTTATGTACAGGGTGTATAAAGTGCAATCCTTGCACCAGACTCTATATCGAGTGTATGGGTAATAGGTAATTTGTGCAACAGACAGTGTATCAGATGTATTAGTAATTGATAATCCCTGATTTTGATCTCTATAGAATCATTCTTAGAAGTGGTAAATTTTTTTTCACACTACTGACTCTCGTAGATTGGATAAATGAAACTCAGGACTTAGAGCTTGGCTAATAGAGCCACTTTTGTCACTTTTCAATTATATCACGCAACTAACCTATAAATTAAAAATAATTATTACCCATGGATACTCTATACATTACGCGCTTTGCTTTAATTAAATCTCTTATAAATTATGTAACTAGAAATAATCCTTAAGTTGGAACAGTTATTGCAGATTTACGTATCACCGTTTAAGTCACAAGAATAATATATTCGTGAATACGTTATAGTTTACAGTGTATTAATAAGCAAGGTTATATGTCTGTTATAAGATGTTTATATGATAAGTTTACTGTAAGAATCGACTTCGAAAGCTACCTCTACTGAAATGTATAGGTTTCGAACAGGGCGGTGCCTTTCTCCCCGCATAATTCATTTTTGTAACAATTGTCCAATCCTGTGCCTACGAAAGTAGGCTTAACTCACCCAGTTTAGCTCATTAAATGTAATGAATACAGTAGATGCAATTACAACAGATACGATGTAGTAAAAATAACAGCGGTTATACCGCCGATCATATTGAAAGAATGTCAAGGATTAACAGGTACTTTGTGAAAATCGGAATAGGTACCCATTCAACGGCGTGAGTTCTGATACTCTTTAGGTTGTTATCACTGTCTCTGATCCTCTTTACAGTCGCCAGATCGAAGCTAAGGTCTATGTTTGGACATGCTGATGTCAGAAAGTTATCTACTTTACGAAAATTGACGCTATCTCATTATCTGTCATTTTCGTGTCTAATAAATATAATATCGACAATGATTATGGCGTTAAAAATATGTTATCAAGCCAAAACGTTTTAGTTGGCACTCTTTAAGATAGTCTAAGAGACGAAATATGTTGATCTCATCAACAAAATTTATGTTTTTGTATTTTTACCGCAATCGATAAATATTGTTTAAAAATTGTGCAGATTAATTAAAGAAAATCTTAAATTAGTGCTTTGAGACGTATTTGTATTCAGGCCTCCTTTATAGGAGTGGAAAATGTCTATTAATATTAAATATTTCAAAACCTGTAGGTTCAGACCCGAAAGATGCACATGTTTACCATTATCCAGATAATCTGTCTGGTTGTCCTTTGGATTGTGAAGTCTACCGAGGCAGAAATGGCTTTCCCATTTGTTCTGCTCATGATGGTACCTGTGCGATTGCAGCTTAAGAAATGTTTTACACAAAAGGAACTACAGGCGGTAAGAATTTATTATGCCAAAATTCAGCTTAACAACATTAGAACGTGTAATAACGTTAGAGATTAAGGTAATATAAAGAAAATATTAGGTATTATCGATCAGTATCAATTTTCTTTCTATTTATTTATTTATTAGTTTACTTTAAAGCAAAGCCAAAATAGGCTGGCTATCTGTTGTTTCCACTGCGAGAAATCGAACCCCAGATTTTAGCGTTATAAGTCCTTAGACTTACCACTGTCCCACCGGGGGGGGACTTTTCTTTTTGTTTAATGATGACACAGAAATTCAACTCGTCGAAAATATGAAACGTTCTGACTTCAATTAAAGGTTAGCAAATGCTTGTTCATTGTGTTCTTATTGTGGCTTCAGTATTTCAAAAGTTTTCATTGTAAGTACTTTTTTTATTTCATGTTTCTTTTAAGTGTTTCACGTACGTTTCTTTGCTGCTACTTGTGAATTTCAACCAGAAATATTTATATTTTAGTGTTACAATTTTTGAAATTACTTCCTTCTATTTTTATCTTAGTTTTGAATTCCAACTTCTGTTTTTAGCTCTATATTTCTTTCTTCGTGTTCTTTCTTCCTTCATTTTTAATAAAAATTAAATTATCATTGACTTATAACTCTTATGCTTGTTACATTATGTAGTTGGATGGAGATGAAACGAAACAAGCAAACCAAGAAGAAGAACCTGACATCTACCAACAGATTGTGCCTTGACAGAGTAGAAACATCACTACTATCAATATGTAGAAGTTATTTTTTTATGTTCAGTTAGTTCAATGATTTTTGTACAGTCAAAACTTATACTCATTGCTCTAAATGATACACTTAGATCCAACAAAAGTTATATTCTTACTTTGAGAAACAAGCCGTTTGAAATATCTGGAAAATAAAAACATTTATAGTTATTAATATGATTCAGAGGAAGACAGTGTGGCCAGAATGTTTCCCAATATTATTTCAAACTGTCATTTTATAAACATTCGTTTACGCTTACTCGAACGACAATTAAAGCCAATGCTTTTCTTCTGGCGGATAGCGCCGGAACGGCTTACCGGTACCATTTAATGAATGGGCAGCAAAAACAAATAAGACATTACCTAAAAATCGCATCTTCTTATAAAATCGAATGATTATAGTTATGTAATTTATGAGTAAATATAGTACCCACATCGTTAAATACGTTACCGTATTTTGTATTGGGATGGTGATGGGGTGGGATGGAATAACAACTCCAAAAGGTTGTAGAAAATATAGAAGAGTTCCGGAACAACAACAAAAAAAAAGCACTGATTAAAGTTATTAACTATATTGTTGCGATAGTAAATCTTATGCTATTAATGTAGTGTATTTTCCAATATTGTTAACTTCAGCTTTATATAAAGACTGTAATGTGATTGAATTCTAGAAAGTAATATATATGTATATTTACAAATATTTCGTAGCCAACTGTAAGTCTTTTTATCTCAACGCCGTTTAGCAAATATACAACTACAATACTCAAGACCATGGTAATTTTTTAAGCTTGTACTTTAGCATCCGAAAGTTAATTAATATCTTATTTTGTACTTGTATTTAAGGCAAAGCTACTAAGGCCATGTTAGAGTGTAGGTTTGAACTTCTGCCCAGAGGAAAAGTAACCAATCAGTAGCACCGTATCGCCCACTGTCGACGTTAAGGGATTGAATGTAACTCTTATAATACATACACAAATTAAAGTTGGAGAATATTTTGTAATATCGCAAGGATCCGAACTCAGCTTGCAAACTCCTAAATCCAGAGCTCTACCACAGGGCCAACTGGTGCTCATTTTTAAAATTTTCTATTGTTGTTACTTTGTTTCTCTTGAAGTTAACACAAAGCTACACAATGGGCTATAAGTGCTCTGCCTACCACGAGCATCGAAACCCGGTTTATAGCGTTGTAAGTCCACAAACATGACGCTGTGGGGCTTTATTGTTACACAAGCGAGGACTGTTTGTGCTTTGCTTAAACATCATGGACCTTGAAGACATCTTTTTTTTACTGAAAGACTAATCATTTTATCAAGGGAGAAAATATCGTAATACAAAATAGCTTTTCAAAGAAAATAATTTGGGAGCATTAGGTTGTGTGTTTTATTAATTTTTATGTTTGTTGTAAGTTTAGTTTGTCATGTACTATACTTTATTTTAATGTATTTTAAAGCGTGGCCCTTTCACCAGAAAGAACTCCAACTCTGAGGATATAAATATTAAACTTTACGAAAGAACCAATTAGAACTTCTTCTAGGCTCTTGTCTGTTGATTTGATTTTCAATCACGGTCGCATAATTTTTATCGTTATGTTTAGATACTTTAATAAACTACTTCATCTGAAGTATGCTGGTTTCCGCAGGAAAATATGTCGAGTAAATAGTGAATAGTCCCACTTGAACGTGACGTGTAAAATTAGCGTGCGAAAATAAGATAAAATATTTAGAGAAAACGAGAAGTTATTGTATTCAAGACAAGACAAACTGATTTGTATATTAAACATGGAACATACGAAATTTAAGAACTTTTCCAAAGCTACGCAACAGATTAGAGAAAGAAAAGGGTGAAAAAAAAAAGTGAAGGCAATTGAGAAAGTCTGAACTGTACTAAAATAAAAACAAAGTTTTATATTTTATTGCTAATAGATATATGTATTAGGGGTATGTGTATCTCATCATAATAGACCATACGATACGTATCTAAATACACAAGTTTACCAACGGTTTGTTACAAAGTTTAACAGTCTTGTCTGTAATTTATTATCTATATTACTAGCTTTGTCTTATTTAAGTACTTCACACTTTACAGTTCTTTTTTTCAAATTCTCAGGTTTGATCAATTAAATAGCAGCAGGCAAGAGAAGTAAAATTAAAGAAAAAGTTAATATCCGTCTATCTATTTTGGTATTGTTAATTTGTTATATTACTTTGCATGTAATATTTTTGATAACAGAAATAAAGACATGTAGTACTCAATACTCTTCACTTATTGAATCATTACTTTATAGCAAAAATACTTTATTAGAAATTCGGATTCTTTCTGTACAAAAGACTTGTAATGTTTACTGAAAACTTACCAAATTTCGTGAAGATACATAAATCATATTGTATCGTATCGGACGATGTATCGATACACGAATATCGTATCGCTGTATCGCCGGGACCTACATGGCCAGGTGGTTAGGGCGCTCGACTCACAACATGATGGGCCGCGGGTTCGAATCCCAGTCCCACCTAACATGCTAGCCCTTTCAGCCGTGGGGGCGTTCTAATGTGACATTAACTCCTACTATTCGATGGTAAAAGAATAGCCCAAGAGTTGGTGGTGGGTGTTGATGACTAGCTGCCTTCCCTCTAGTCTTTCATTGCTAAATTAGGGAAGGCTAGCGCAGATAGCCTTCATGTAGCTTTACGAGAAATTCAAAAACAAACAAATAAGCTGTATCGCCATCAAATCAGCAAGTAACGTGACAATTACATCTGATATATTGCCGCGGTGGAACAGAATATGTCAGAACTACATTTTTACATTGTTTGGCGCTTCATAGGTAGCGTGATGTCACTGAAAATGGATCGATCTTGAGAAAGATATGTATTAGCCCCTTCCGACGCAAAATATTCAATACACTCAGATCATAAAGATGTGTTCAGATGGGGTTTAGAATTTCCAAGACAGAAATATCTCCTCTACTTAACGGCACTGGGAAACAAAGGAATATGGATACATTTGGGGACCAGTATCATCCAGAAAGAGACCTGCATCAAGTCATACTCCAGCCTTTTTAATCAAGGTGCCGCATTTTGTAACAGGTGAGGATCTACGAACACAAAGGTCAGTGGCCTCAGGCAACAGTAAGCAATATATTCATAAAGGATCTCTGTCTAGAAGCGAGACCAACAGGGTATAGATTATCAAAATAAAGCTTCCAGTTATACCTCAAGCAGCTGGAGAATGGAAAGGTGTTTTCGCACCATTTTATACGAAGACATACCTGTCACTTAGCCATAAAAGACTAGTTCAAACATGTATGAAACTGTATGGAATTTTACGCAATTGGATTGTTCGAATGTGGACTGGTAAAACGTAGTACTCGTACACTGGATAAACTATGAAAACTGCAAGAGAGATTGGGGTGCTTTTGACACGCAACCTTGTGACGGAGCCTTCTGTACTGGAAACTGAGCTGCAGGTTGTTACTTATTAGAATTTCAAATAGTCCGAAGCCGAGTTAAATAATTTAAATTCAGCAGTTAAATTGTACTTTGGATTTAGTATTTAAATAAATGCTGATATATAGTCAGTTTGTAATATTTGCAAACAAGATTGATACACAGTTTTCTTTCTTAACACAAATACGTTTTAATATACACACGACAGTACAATTTACTATAACAGTTATTACAAATAGTTATTACAAACAATAATTCATAAACAAAAGTTTCACAAACTTACAAGCAATATAAAGTTTTCTTTCTAGTCTGGAACTTCCTTGATATCTTATCGTGGGTTTACGATGAACGAGTTGATGTAAGTACGATTCGCCAGGAAGCTAGCTAGCTTTGTCTCCTTGGCCACACACGCTGTTTTCCACGGTTGAAGTTAGATAATGTTTTCGTAAAAATACTAATGTCCGATAAGAATCCACTGAAGATAAAATTTATAACGTTCGAAATTTATAAACATTCCTGGTCAAATATCTTAAGTTTTCCGATTGATAAGCGTCATTAAAATCACAGTTATAGCTTTCGAAATCTTATAGCACACCGAATTATACCGAACTAATAATAGATACTCATCTTTGCGCATTGCGTTGATTATATTTATAGCCGTGGGAAGGTTCTCTAGAAAATTCAGTCTTACGTAACAATACTGATTAAAACATTTACGTATATAGATATATTGTTGATTCTTACCTTCGAGAATCTTCTAGAAGTTTGGAGAATAGGCGGGAGTTTCGCAATACATATCTAACAGTATAAGCTATGTATGTTTCTAAATATAAACTTAATCTAAACAATGTTCATATTAAAATAAATACATAGCAACAAATTCGTTACAAGGTCTATTGTTAAGGAGCACGGTCGTCAGATAGAGCATGACCGGACATAGTAACATAGACTGTAACGATGTGGTAAAACTACTGACGGCTAGCCAAGGTAGATCTTGAGTAGTTTTGCGCGAAATTCAAGAAACTGACAAACACTAATAACTGTGGCGCTCATACAAAAGGAATAAAACCACAAACACCAGAAAAGTAGACGATGATAAATAAAATGTTTTGCTGTTCTATCTTCACTTGTTCGTAACATTGCAGTTGTTATTCTAACACATTTTTTATTGGATTGGAAGCAATATAGAAAAATGGAAATTTTTGCTACACACCGCCAACTAACTCACTTGGGAACCTTGATCTAGAGTATCAGTTTGAAAGTTACGCAGTAAAAGTAATGTGAATTGGGGGGCGACTTTGCTAGTAAAGTATTTTCCGCTGACAATAAGATATTTCCTTTTTGATTTTCCAGTAAAACGAAAGAATTATTTAATATAGTGTTATTTCGATATGCGATTTATTGAGCGGCAGCTTCAGACTGCCCTCAATCGGTTGTTGAGATGGACCACTGCAAATGGTTTTAAATTCTCTTTT